AGTCTGGCCACAAGTCTCCTCGGAAGTCCCCACCTCGGCGTCTGAAGGAACAGCGTCCTCTCTGACCCCGAGCTCTTCAGCAACTCCCTCGACCTCTGCCTCTGAAGCCCGATCCGGGTCTTCCTCCAAATTTTCCTCAACCTCTAGCCTCGCCGCCTGATCGAAGAGTTCAGACCACTGCGAAGGCTCAAAAGGTTGCGGAAGCTGTGAAAACTTCTTATACCCGGGGGTATAGTTCAGCAGGATATGAGCAGCACGGCCAAACCCGTTGTCACCCGTGAACCTCCAAACCGTGATTAGGTCGGCAAAGTTCACCAGCGACCGAGGGGGAGGAGCTGTTTCCCGAGCAGGAATATCTGCACAAACAAAAAAGTTGTCATAAACATGGGAAGTCCCGAGAAACAAATAAGAAACCCAAAGGAACCGACGTACTTGTCGTTCTCCATTCCAGAGGGCATAATAAGTCATTGTACTCGGGACCAACACCTCTCTGCCAAGATCCCTTGAAGATTAGGATATCGTCCTTGTACCCCTTGTCCGAGTCAGGAAGATGGGTTACAAGGTACATGGAAGGGTCCCTGGCTTTGAGGTAGAAGTGTTGGTGAGGCATGACTCTAAGGAGGGAATAACAGAAAAGGAGATCATTGAGCCCAATATTTACCCCGAGGCGCCTATTGAGCTCTAAGACCCCCATGATTATTCGGAAGACATTAAGGCAGCATTGCCCGGGGAAGAGGCGAAAGCGAGAGAGGAACTGAAGAAGCAGGGGGGTAAAGGAAACCTAATTCCACCCTCTATGATGGCCTTGGTATAGAAGGGCATGGCATCCTCGGCCCCGAGGGTAGATGAGTGCACCGCTGGGTCAAAATCCTCTACGTCTACGCACGGAGGAATGCCGTACTTGGCCCTAAACCTATCGATCTGCTCCTCGCCTTTCACCTTATATTTCCCTGACCCCGAAGGACCAGCCTGAGGATTCTCGGGAGCAGGGCGACGACGAGGCATCTCTAAAAAAGAAAGAAAAGGGTATTTGTTCTTAAAAACCCCTGAGGAAGTTTCCCGAGGGTTTAAATCACAACGTATCGACCGGATGACACCTCCAGTCAATCTGAAAACAAAAGGCTAGGAGGACGAAAAGAAAGAGGGTTCTGAAACTCACCCGAACGTCAAAATGGAGTTTTTTCTGGAAAAACCTTAAAACAACTCCCTCCAGAAAGTTCAGGAATCAACAATGGGTCTGCTGGCTCTGAGATTTTGAGAGAAAGGGCAGTCGACGATGGCAGAAGAAACAAAACTCCGGCGAAGATTCAAGAAGGCGTACTCTGGAGGAAGTTCGAAATGGAAAAACGATGGAAACCGGAGAGGAACCCCCTTTATATAGGGGCAAATTTTCATCATTGGGACGAAAAACCGAAACGGCGCATTTAATGCGCACGACATCCCAAGCCGGGGAAAGCGGCTCGAGGCCATGATGAAGGACGGGTGGTAGTTGGGAAACCCTTCGTCTCCTTACAACGCGTGTCCTCGGTGTCAGAAGATCGAAGGCTGGGGGGCAGTTGATGGGACTTTTCTGAAATGCCCTATGATGAAGACACGTGTCCTCGGTTTTGCTAAAACACTGTTGCTTGGATCAAGCACCATCGGCGAACGAATGTCCTCGCCCCCGAGGTACCCTCATATAGGATCATGCATTCAGTATATTTTACAACCAACACGTGTCCTCGGTCACCTATGTACCTCGGTCGCATACCTCCCTCGGTCCCCGAGATGAGCCTTTCCTCGGTGCCGAGAGTTACTCCGTCCTGGACGCTTCCTCTACTCCAGGATAAGCTATTGACGTATAGGTCACTAGCCTAGGCTAGTCTAGGCTGCTCATCATGACCTCGTCTTACACAAGTAATGTCAGAACATACTGGAATACAGAGGTCACAGCCAATAGGGGATGGACGCGTGGCAAATGATGTCACATCAAAGACAGACAAACCGCATGCCGTTGCTGACACGCGGCTTGGGAAAGCAAACAATTAATTGCACCCTTCTGTTGATGAGACCGCATTCAATGCGGTAAGGCTCGGAAATGAAAGGCAATAAATGCTCCTATTACAGAGCATTTATTGCATCCTCCCCGAGAGGAGCATATTGTACCGTCGGCATCCCGACGACTCAGCATTGATTGCTCGGGACCCGGAGCAGTCAATTAGAGAAGACATTCCTCATCAGAATCAATGCACACGCTACCTGTGCCTAATGATCACCTACTGACCACACTGACAGCAATCATGAGCTTTTAAGGTATAAATACTCCTCCCAAAAGGCAAAGCGGGTATGCAACAACAAACTCTCTACTACAATACATTCTCAGTGTTTTCTCCTTCCTCTCTCTCTCTCTCTCAAAGACTGACTAGATCGTCGGAGGGGATACGCCGGAAAACACTCCGGCGCCCTTCTAACCTGTTCTTCTTTGTTCCAGGAACCCCTTTCATCCTTACAGGACCGTCACTCCTTTCCCAGGGTCTCCCGTTACCGTTCCGGGTTACCACCGTACCGTGCAGGCTGTCCCAAGCAGTGTGTTTGGTCACTCCACCGGCTCACCCGAAGTTCACCAAGGGAGAGATCTGTTCCCGTTTTTTTTATATTGTGCAGGATCTTGCACACACAATCCTTATTGGTTTTAGTGCTTGCTTACCGAAATTTATTTAGAAAAGTTTCAACTGGTTTTGGAAATAGAATGAAAAAAAATAAAAATTTTAAAATTAATTTTTTAAAACATTGGTTGAAATAAACTAAAATATCTTAAAAGACCATAAAACATTTCAAAATAATTACGTAAATACATTGAAATATTAAAAAATATTTTGAAATATTATGAAGTACCTTGAATTATTAGAATTTTAATTTCATCACTGATTCTTTTTGATTTCCATGAAAACGAAAACGATTCAGACGTTTTGACCATTTCAAAATAAAATTTTGATACTTGCACATAATTTTTAATATTTGATGGGACTCACAATCAATCTAAAAGTCAGAGTTAAATAACATTGCTCTATTTTTGTTTCCCTGGAGCCATTTAAAAAAATATTTCTAATGTCATTTCTTCTGCTGTATGTAGTATGGTATATGAAAATTAACTTTCACATCATACGATTCTAATAGCAAGTTTGGATCCTCATTTGTGATATGATGTAATGATTAAAATAAATCACTCCTTGATATTATTTTCACCTAATACTATTTAAGTTAATTGTTAATCGGTGTATTGTTGAAGATATGAGTCACGTTAATAATTCCATTTTGTAACAACTTTTATCTGTTCTTTTTCTTGCCATCAAACTCGTCAAATTTATGATTAAAAAAAAAACTAATCAAATTAACTATTTATTGTGATGTTCTTAAGCTATTCAAAAACCTAAAATGTGTATTCGTCCATAGGGAAGTTGGGGGAGGGTGTGAAATGGACAAGTAAAAATTGGAGGTGAAGGAGAAATCATACATAATACTAGTCGTTACTAAACACAGCATGTGCGTAACATGAAAAAATGTTAGTTAGAGTGATTAAATTATCTACAACTCATCTAGACGCTGCTGCAGTCTAAATTGTTTATTAGCTCGATAAAAAAACTTATTTAAATTCTTGGAACGGAACACAATGAACTCAATTATTAATAACGACCTCTTCATCAGTTTTTTCATTGACTCGCTTCGTAACTCTCAAGATGAATTCAATTAGTAATTCATGGCAAGTTTTTTCCAACAAACATCAATTTGTCCTATTCTAATTGTCAATTGGATTTAATACCAAAAACGTACAGTTTAAAAAGTATATGAACACAAGACTACTTTATTGATCCACATGTATGTATATAAGAGATGCACTTAAATTTCAACAACATTGACTTAAATCCCTCACGAATTTTCTCTGGATTAGTTAGAATAGTAGTAGGGATATCAATTATGTTGTCTCATGTTATTTTTGTTTAGCATTGTATTACTTTCGATAATGTCGCTTTTGTTTGTGTCGCTTTCGGTACTTATTGTGTTTTTGTTAATAAAAAATTATTTAATTCTGTAACATCTCATATGATATCCTGCAAAAAAAATTAAAAAATATCTATTTTTAGCCTCCATTAATGGTTAATCGTGCTTTTCATGTCTAATTTTATTTTGACCAATTTATTATTTGTGTCAATAGCTAGTGTTATTTTTGAATTTTGTGTCGAGCTAGATTCGTGTTGGGTCCGTGTCAATAGGTAAAATTGACACCCCTAAATACTAATGCTTTTCACCAATATATATCTATATATATATATGAAAAATGGAATAGTAGGGCATGGCAAGTTTATTTTAACAAGATTAATATTATTGAAATCTAAAAAATTGATTTAATTTATTGACATAACGATATGTCAAATGAGTTCAAGAATTATCGTCATAACAATCTATATAATAAAACAGTTATGTGATTGAAATTTTATCTCATATATATTTTTTCCTCCAAAATCATTTTATCACTCATTTCTATCACATATATAATCATTTAATATTTATAAATTTGTAGTTTAATATAATTTTTATTTCAGACATTATTCAAACACGATAGTATACATATGTTAAAAAAATTTATTGGATTAAATATTTTTGTTGATATTTTTTAAAAAATAATAGGTAAAAATAATATTTAAATGACGTAATCAAATAAATAAAAAAAAATATTATTTAATATAATGAGATTGATTTTTTTTAGAGAATCAAATTTTATATTTTATAGGACTAACTATTCTAACAAACATAGTTTTGTCCGATTCTTAATGTGAATTGAAATCTCAAAAGGGGACAATATAAGCTGAGGACATTATATAAGCACAAGACTTTCATCCTTTCGGAGACACCCTAAACAAGAACAGTTCAATCTCATTGCACCAACATGGCTTCTTTTCCGCTTATAGCCACCACCACCACCACCACCACCACCACCACCACCGTTTTCTACTCTTCCTCCTCTTCAACTCTTTCAACCATGTCTCCTTGTCCATTCTTTCCAATAACCTCAAAACCTTTCCAAACCACAAAACATAGCCGTCACTTCAAAGTTTCATGCAAAGCCATACGTGGTGATCAAAACCCTACTCCTATGTCCGAAAATGGAGAAACTCTCCCGGGAAAGTTTGATCGGAGGAGTGTGCTTCTTGGTTTAGGAGGGCTCTACAGTGCAGCCAGTCTCAGCTCCGACATGTTAGCCGTTGCTGATCCGGTTTCACCCGACTTTTCCAACTGCCATTCGCCAATATTGCCTCCCGATCCATTGAAACCGACCTATTGTTGCCCTCCAAAATTCCCTCCGGGCGAAAAAATTATCGATTTCAAGCTTCCTCAACCACCTACCAGCCTGCGAGTTAGACAACCAGCTCACATGGTGGACGATGACTACATAGCCACGTATTCCAAAGCCATTGAACTCATGAAGGGCCTTCCTGACGACGATCCTCGTAAATTCATTCAACAAGCAAATGTCCATTGTGCTTACTGTAATGGGGCTTATGATCAAAATGGGCATCGAGGTCAGAAATTGGAAATTCATCACTCATGGCTATTTTTCCCCTGGCATAGATGGTACTTATATTTCTTTGAGAAGATCTTGGGACACTTGATCGACGACCCACTTTTTGCTTTGCCATTTTGGAATTGGGACTCTCCCGATGGCATGACAATACCCTCCATGTATGTCAACCCTCAATCATCACTCTACGACAAGCTTCGTGATGTCAAACACCAGCCACCAAGGGTGATTGATCTGAATTACAACGGTTGTGATTGCGATATACCTGTAAAAACACAAGTGGACCTGAATCTCTCGACCATGTACCGACAAATGGTTTCCGGTACTAATAGTCCTCTTCTCTTCCTAGGTAGCCCCTACCGTGCTGGAGACGGTCCGAACCCCGGAATGGGGACTCTAGAGTCCAAGCCTCACAATAACGTCCATGATTGGACCGGTGATCGAATGCAGCACAATGGAGAGGACATGGGAAGCTTGTACTCGGCCGCTCGTGACCCAATATTCATGGCTCATCACTCTAATATTGATCGGATGTGGACAATATGGGAAGACCTAGGAGGAAGACGTCAGAACTTTACTGACCCAGATTGGTTAAATGCATCTTTTATATTCTACGATGAGAACAAGCAAGCTGTACGTGTTAATGTCCAAGACTGTTTGGATTACCGACAACTCGGATATGGTTACATGCCTGTGGATATTCCCTGGTTGAAGGCTCGCCCAACCCCACGTAGAAGAAATGCAGGAGTGGGGTTGGCCAATAGGGTTACAGGAACAACAAACGTTTTTCCGGTAACCCTAGATAGGGTAGTGAAAGTTTTGGTTCGAAGACCAAGGAAGCTGAGGAACACGAGAGAAAAAGAAGAAGAAGAAGAGGTATTGGTGATACAAGGAATAGAGTTTGATGCAGATAAATTTGTGAAGTTTGATGTGTATATCAACGAAGAAGATGAGACAGAGAGTACACCCAAAAACACAGAGTTTGCTGGGAGCTTCACGCATGTGCGACATCCAAGTGGCCATAGTACGAAGATGGTGACTCAGCTAAGGCTAGGGCTGAATGAGCTGTTGGAGGAATTGGGAGCAGAAAATGATGACACTCTGTTGGTCACTTTAGTTCCAAGAGGTGAGAGCATTACCACCATTGGTGGTATAGGGATTGAGTTTAATTCTTGAATGAATCTCTCTCTTAGCTATTGTATCCACCTTGGGACTTTGCATGCACTTGTTTTTTCAAGATGGTATTACTACGTGAAAATAAGCTGTAATAAAGCAACTGGGCTGAGAATGTTTTCTAGTCCTAATGAATATCGGGTTGTACTACTACTATCAATCTCAACATCTTTCTATTCCTATATGGGTGTGTTTGTTTGGTGAATTAGGATTCTATGGGATTGGTTAATACACTTCCAATATGGAAGGAAATTAATTTCGGTAATAAAAACAAATGTAATCACATCCCATATTTGTTTGAGCAATATATTTTATTGTAAGACCCATTAAAAAATATTTATTTTGTCACATCTTGTATAACAAATAAACATGTTTATCTCTAATACCATCTCAGGATCTGTGGAAAGTGATAATATAATAATTACGCTACCTTATATTATCGGTGCCCCTTCTCCCTGCCACCTATCAAGTGGCATTAGATATACACACATGTAAATGGGTTTAGCTCCGGTGTTCATACCAGGTCAGTATTAGGATCCAGAATTTTGTAATTTGCTAAAAACGATTAACAAACAAAATATATATGGGATCCATGTGCTAATAAAAATTGTGATTATTTTCGTTAACCTTAATAAGCCCTGCTACAGAGTTTCTATATGGTCAGTTGACATCTAGTTGGACCATCCAATTCATAAAGATAGCCTAGCGGACGAGATTTCCATCCTTTTCTCGCATAGAATCAAATATAAATAAACTTATCTCGCATGCATTATTTATGTGACTCGAAGTCGTGATGCCTAACTCATAGTAAAGAACTTTAGCAATAAGTGAAAGTTTTTCTCATTTTCTTTCCATGTTGTGAGCGAGAAAAAAATAATTTATGATGAATTTTGTACCATTAATTCTATCAAAATAGATAAATATTGAATCTATCTTAACTATTGTGATCTTTTATCAACCATGCAGTTAAGTTAGAGCCGCAAGTGTCAATGCTTAAAAAAGTGAATGCAGTAAGTAGTATAGACTTAGACAAGTTGCAGTCAATGACTAGATTATTGTATCTTGGATGGGATGCATTGTGATCTACTATACTGGATAATTTATTAGTAACGGCATGAACCCTCTTTAAAAAAGATGACTTAGTTTGTACATCAACCATCTCAAAACGTTTTCAATGGTGCTACACTTGTCAAATTTGTTAAAAAATTGTATACAAAAATCGATGTGGAATGCTAAGTTAGTAGATGTCTGTCGAATCTTACTAAACTTTCAATGGTTATGATTATACAATTTCAATTGGTATTGAAAATGTGGTGCACACATTTGATATATGCTAGTTGATGTATACGTGCGTAGCACGTAAACTATATTAAGTCATAGTTTTAATTATAGAGTATCAACGACATTAATTCATATCCAACCAACATAAAGATCAAAGACACAATTAGAATTAAGCTTCATTGATTTAAATTATGAAGACATTTGGAAAAATCAAAAAAATAAAAAAAAACACGCGTGGCATTAAACCGATTGGATACACCAAAAATGCAAATGAGAAGACAAACGGAACCCCAAAAAAAAAAAAAATTAGTACTATCCATTACAAATTTTATAATTTTTTAGAGTCACGTATCACTTTTTGTAGTAATTTGTTGTCAATCATAAAAATGTTAGGTTTGATCATGAAATACCATGAAAGTGATAACTTGTCCCTATACCTTAAATCTTAAAAGTTGTAATATGATTCAAAAAGCCGTAAATTTGTTTTGTTGTAAATAAATCTAAAAATTTAAATCAAATCTCGGAGGTACGGTACCAATGTGTTTTTGTACGATAGTCTTCTCCAAATGCAGATTTGCAAACCATCGTATTTCCAAGACCGTACAATGGTGACATCCCAATAATGATTGAAATTGCATTGTACCAACAAAACTTGTAAAACGAAAAAAATTATTATAGTTAACAAAGTAATTGATCACTTATTTTAATCATGATTTGAAATTTTTATTCCTTGAACTATGACCTCGCAATCTAACTGTGTCGTGCTTAGCAGGGGTTATTGCTACTCTCAATAATGTCACCTTACAACATCAAAGAAAGGACAATGCTAAAAACATCCATTATTTTATGTTTTTTTTTTTTTTGTTTTTCTCCCTACTATTTTTGATGACGACTAGGGGTGTTTATGGGCGGATTATCCACAAATTTTGTTATCTGATCCAAAAAATAAACCTAAAATTCGATAGATCCGATAGTTGGGCCGCCCCGAGCCTAATATCCTTAAAAACAGGGTTTGAATTTGCCCCAAAACCCATTACCTGACCCGAAGCCTAACCTAAGAGCCCACCTGTCAAATCCGTCTGCCAAGCCCAACCCATTCTTCTTTAGGAAAAAAAAGGGAAATTTAGAAGCCTGTTCCCATACGTGGACTTGTTTGGATTTAAATCCGTCAAAAAAACTTATTTGTTATGAAATCCGTTTTTTGTCAATTTTACCATACTATCCCTTCTCTTTAGAAGTAAAATAAAACTAAAAATTAAAAACTTCTAAATCTTAGGAGTTTGACTAGTATATATTAAAATCTTTTCTCCCTCATATATATCTATATCTATATATAGGTTAAGAGTTTGACTAACATTAAAATTTTTCCTCTCTCTTATCTATCCATGTATAAGTTATATATATGTGTGTGTGTGTATATATATATATATATATATATATATATATATAGTAACATTAAAAATAAAAAATAGTAACATTCAAATATAAAAAAAAAATTATCATTTGGACACAAAAAATAATACATTTAAAAAAAAATAGTAACATTTAAACATAAAAAAATTTGAAACATTCAATATTAATATTTTTAAAAAATAACAACAGTAACATGTTCAACAAAAATAGTAACATACATAACAAAAACTGTAACATACATAACAATAATTATTTCTCTTAAATTCAAATGCAAAAAATAGTATCATTCAAATACAAAAAATAGTAATATTCAAAAAAAAAATAGTAACATTGATTATTAATATTTAGGAAATAATAGTAGTAACATGATCAACAAAAACAGTAACATATTCAAAAATAATAGTACATGAACAGTAACATACTCAATAAAATCAGTAACATGAACAATAACATAATAAAAAAAATAGTAACATAAATTTGAAATTTACTATTCAAATTCATAATAACTTTTGTTTTGCATTTGAATGTTACAATTTTTTTTAATGTTACTATATATATATATATATATATATATATATATATATATATATATATATATATATATATATATATATATATATATATATATATATATGGATATAGATAGATTAGAGAGAGGAAAAATTTTAATGTTAGTCAAACTCTTAACCTATATATGTATATAGATAGATATGAGAGAGAAAATATTAATTTCCTTTTAAGGAAGAGTATTTTTGAGATAAAAAAAAAAGTAGATTTAAGTCATTACATATAATTTTAAACATGGACTTAGCCCCTTATAAGTTTCCTTGCAGGACTTATCTCCAAATAAATATATTTAGGGAGACTCACTTCTAGTTTTCACTAAAAAAAAATACTTTTAGACCATTAAATTTGAAATTTTGAAATAAGTTTTCCAATGTCGAAATTTAAAATTTTAAAAATTTAGATATTAAATAATGTATTATTTTATTTTTCATGTATTAAGCATACAAGTTTTAAAGAGTAAAGTAATACAAATGATAGGTAAGTGAGTAGGTGTCAACCTAGTTGGAATGTATTCATTATATTAGATGTAGTTTATTCTATAATTAAAAATAAAATTGTTCATTATTTTATTTTTATTTATTTTGACTCTATTTTTGATTTAAAAATATAATTTATACAAATATTAAGTTACAAAATATTCATTATTTTTAAATAAAGTTGTATATAAAAAAACCTGTGAGCAGGCCTATCTTGTAAGCCCTCCCAATAGGCTCGTGGGTAGCTTATCCCTACTTGAATCTCGGCTCGGTTCGCTCGATAATTCACTTGGATAAAGGCTTAGAACTACACTACCTAAACTCAACCTGAAAAATTTTGCGACCCTAACCCAACCTATCACATAGGCACCCCTAACAACGACGGTGACTTGACTTCATTTTTTTGGGTATTCTTCAACCTGCTATCTACGTCGAACAACAATTGGAAAAAAAATGTTACTAATCCTAAACGGTTGAAGACAGGTGTGTTGTGCGTGTTATTGATAAATTTTTTATTGTAAACATAATTTTTAATTAATTTTTACAAAATTAATCATATCGTTCAACTACTATTTGTAGTCTTATTCTCATATTAAATAATCATCTGGTTCTATGAAGATGATGTTGACAAATGTAATCGGTTAATGGGTGAGTGTAATTATACCTAAGTGAGTAAATCGATCATCTCTTTACTTGTTGATGAGCCCAGATTTTACTTGGTCCGACTAATTAATAAAATAAGCCTAAATTAGTTACAAGATAGGCCAAGCATAACTCATGGATTCGGCTCAATCCAAAGAAGATTAGCTCATGTGGGAAACAACCATCGAGATAGCCATTCTTCAAAATCTAGACTATCTCTAATTATATCTATCCTAGTTGTAGCTATCCTTCTCAAAAAGTTAATCACTTGTGCCTTCACGTCACTGTCTTAATCAAGACTTTGTGCCTATAAATTATAAACCCTCTTCATATAAGAGGGGTATCTCTCTGCACACCTTACACATCTATCTCTCTCATAACTATCATCGGCCACCGTTGTCATCTTTAAAGTGGATCAGGTCACCCCTGACCGAACCATTGTATATTTGTGTGTTGACTTTGTTGATCTCATCTTATATTTTTCTACATTTATTACCTACATTAATTACTCGATAGGTGGTGTATAAATATACTTTTGTGCATCATCACTTGTAAATGTGTTCAAGAGAGATCGATTTCCAGCAATTCCAATCTATGTATAACCTAATCTTTTCTTGACTTTATCGTTGATATATATATATATTTTATTGGGAGGGGGAGGAAGAGGGGGGAAGGGGCTTATCATTAATTTGACCTTATCGTTGATATGCTGTCAAATTAATTAGTGAAAATGTACATGTACTCGAACCAGAATTTGGAGAGAAAAAAACACTACCAACCTCATCAATTATCAAGCCTGCACTCGACTGCAATGTTCCAGATCAAATCAGTCACGTTCACAATATCCGCAACTATCAAGTTATGATCCG